AACAAAAAAGTATCCAATTCTAACTTCCTATATTTGGAATTATGACAAATGTTGCACAATACAATAACAACAATAGTTCTTTATTTGGTTATCAAGATATGATTAATGGTTTATTGTAACCTTCCTTTTATTAAATGTAGTTTAAGGAAAATATTTTGTTGAGCCTTCAACTCCCAGAAGTGATTAACATGTACCTTCTCCCTAAAATATCCATACATTATCCAGCAAGCAGGTAATGAGAATATTCAAACTTATCAGGTAGAAGTTGTTATCTCCATCTTACTCCAAATTATTATAACTAATTTACAAGGAAACATGTAGCAGCCAGAAGGGAGAATTAACAATCAGATCTTGGGAGTTAAAAGGTTAAAAGAAAAAAAAAGTGTTGGATGCCAAGCATTTTTTTACATACAAAACTTTAAGGGTTCAGTACAGGCATTGTATAATTATTGAGTAACATGCCACAACAGATGTACACAACTCTCGTGGATGGGGTGAAAAAAAAGGAAAATGAAGTATTTTTGTTCATGGACATAAAATGAACTAAGAAGCACATCAAACAACTGCTGACAACTAAAACTACCACCAATGCAGTTTCATTCTGTGATGATGAGTTCATCTATTACCCAGACTTCTAGGCTTCTGTCAGGAAGATATTGCCAAAAAGTAATGGGGATTTTCTTGCTCTGAAATAAAATCTAAAATGAATGAAGAGGCTTGCAACTCCTGTGATTGATGTATTTCTGCTATTATTTTTCCAGGTTCATTTGTCATATAGTCTAATAAATATTATTATAAATCTGCATGAATTATATCACAGATGCTGCAATCCTATTGGCTATGCTGCCCACTATAGATAATTAACCCTTGATTTCCATGTGGTAGTTTATTCTGGCTTAGCACACATCAACTATCACAAAACAGAGATCTAAGTACAGATAATTAAAAACTCTCTTTGGATTACATTGTTGAGACAACTTGGTACTAGCTGTTAAACTACTAACGCTGTAAGTTTTAGCTTAAATACTCTGTTAACCTTTTAACTCCCAAGATCTGATTGTTAATTCTCCCCTGTAGCTGCTACACATTTCCTTGTAAATTAGTTATGAGAATTTGGTGCTAGATCAAGGTAACAGCTTCTACCTGAAAAGTTTGAACATTCTCATTACCTGTTTGCTGAAGAATGCATGGATATTGTAGGGAGAAGTTTTATGTTAATCACTTTTGAGAGTTAAAGAATAAAAAAAAAATCATTAAAATTCTTACTTGAGTTCCTTCATGGCTATCTGTAGAGGATCTGTCTGACCTTCAAGTTCCACCATAACAGGGGCACCCATACTGGTTATCAAAACACAACAGATAAAATTGAGTTCCTAAAATTGTGTTCTTGCCAGAATGGACTGAAATAGTCTGTAGCCAAGGTATAACTCAAGATCTCT